CTTTGGGAGGGTGCAGCTGTCCTGGGTATGGGGCTCTGGTGGCTGGTCCAGCCACGTGCCAGAGGCAGGGAGGACTGTGACCCACAGACTCAGGCCCACGGACTCCTGCTGGAGGCCCCTCCCCAGGTAAGGCTCAATGCGGCAGCCTAGGCTTCGTCCTGGAAATCCTGAGTAAGGAGTCGCAGAGGTGGTGTACGGGGCTCCTCTTCCTCCCAGCTGGTGGCTTCTGGCAGAACTTTCCAAGGTTGATGGGAGGCTACCTCTGATCAACACTATCAGTTTTCTATAAATCCAGCACTTATAGGAAGTCAGGTCTCCTAATCCTTAAGTTTGGTCCCCCTGAGGGTATATGTGTGAGAAACTCCACTTTGTATATCCTCTGGTTCTATTTTTATTTATATAGTTTTGGCCGCGTGGCTTGCGGGATCTTAGTTCCCCGACCAGGGATCGAACCCATGACCCCTGCCTTGGGAGCATGGAGTCTTAACCACTTAAGCCCACGAAGTCCTCCTCTGGTTCTATTTTAGACTGAAAGTTTTGCACATGCCTTGGGATTGCTGATCCAAGAGGGTGCTGACCAAGATGGGTGCCCAGGCTTCTGCCCTAGCTGCCCCCAGAGTGTGGGGAAGGTCTGTGCCACCCCTCGAGGCCCCGCACCCCTCCCCAGGCTTGGGGCCCCTGCTTTGCTGCCGCTGCACTGGGGCTCCCAACACACCGGCTTCTGTGCCCTTGGCCCAGGGCCTGGGCTGCTGTCCCCAGTCTGCGTGGTGGCTCCTTCTCGACCTTGGGTCTCCGCTGAAGGGTCCTCTCCTTGGGAGGCCCTCCCTGACACCTGGCATCCTCCGTTGGTTGTTTTTCTCATTTGTCCTCTGTCCCTCCCCTGGACTGAGCTCTATGAGGACCTCCTCCCCCAACCTGGCTCCCTGCTGCACCCCTGGCTCCATTGCCAGGAGCCAGTCTGCTCTCTCCACCCACCCCAGGGCAGGCAGAAGCACCAGGGGCCTGATGGTGGCCCTTACATCTCCCAAGGCCCTCTCATATCCCCCGGGGGCCTTCCCTCCACCCTGTCCCTGCGCCCCTCCACCTCCACGGCTGCGTGGCCTTGATGAAGTGAACGGACGCAGCCAGATCCTTGTGCCTGAAATTCCACCCTAGCGCGCCTCCCTCTTTTGTTCAGTCGCTCAGTCGTGTCTGACTCTTTGTGACCCCACAGACTGCAGCATGCCAGGCTTCCCTGTCCTTCACTATCTCCTGGAGCTTACTCAAACTCATGTCCCTGGAGTCAGTGATACCATCAAACCATCTCATCCTCTGCCGCCCCCTTCTCCTGCCCTCAGTGTTTCCCAGCATCGGGGTCTTTCCCAATGAGTCGGCTCTTTGCATCAGGTGGCCAAAGTAGTGGCCAAAGTAGTGGCCAAAGTAGTGGCCAAAGCTTTTCCCTCTGGCTTGCCCCAAACACTTGCTGAATGTCTATCTGTCTGTCTGGGCCCCAGGCTTGGTGTGGGGAGCGCAGGCCCACCTGACTTAAGAGAACAGTGTGGGGACAGAGGTGGGCAAGGCAGGGGATGAGGCCTGTTGCTGCCAAGGGTGACAGACCCAAAGCAGGGGTTGCAGGAGACGGGACACCCCTGGTTCAGTGGCCCCCTGGTCATGTCCAGGGGCAGTTAGGGTTAGGGCTGGGGCACCTTGGGGGGTGCCTTGCTTTGGGAACACCTGTTCTCAGCGCCACAGAGCCCTTTCTGTGGGATGTTTGTAGGTCTCTGCATCCAGCCCCTCTCCTCATCCCCAGAGCCACCCTGGAGTCCCCGCTTCCACCTCAGAGGCTTCAGTGGTCTCCCTTCTCCCGTGACAGATGTTCCCCACGTGCCCCTCACCAGCTGTTGTCTCACACACACACCTCCTGTTGCAGGCACTTCAGATACGTAGACCCCTCACCACTGCCCCATGATGTGGCCATATCATCGCTCCATTTCACTGGTGAGGAAGCTGAGGCCCAGAGAAGTGGTAAGGCCCTGCCGTCTGGCTGCAGGGTCTGGATGCTGCCTCAGGTGGCCTCTGTGCAGATCCAGGCCTAGCCACCCCCTACCCCCGCTCCCCCAGCTCGAGTCAGCCTGTGTCCCCGCCTGGCACAGACCAGGGGCACCAGCTGGTCCCTCACGGCTCTGCTCCCGCTCTTCCACCTTCCCAGACCTTCCCCAGGCCCTGCCTTCAGCCCCTTCTTGGTCCCGGCATGTCTGGGCTTCCCCGAGGGCAGAGGAGGCTCAGTCACCTAGTATTTAGCAGTTAGTGTTAGTCGCTCAGACGTGTTTGACTCTTTGCAACCTCATGGAGTCCTCCGTCCATGGGATTCTCCAGGCCAGAATACTGGAGTGGGTAGCCATTCCCTTCTCCCAGGTCTTCCGCATTGCAGGCCGATTCTTCACCATCTGAGCCACCAGTCATTCCATAGTTCTTAATCCAGGCCTACCCCCTGGAGCCAAGCCAGCAGAGAAAGCGGGGTTCAGAGCCTTGTGCCCAGGGAAGTGGCCTCAGTGCCCCGTCTGGCTGGTCCAAGAACTGGCTCCCGGTGTGGCTCTGCCTGGCTGTTCTGTGGCTCGGTTCCCTTATTTGTGGGTGGGGAGAGCAGCAGCTGTGCCCCCCCACCAACTCCACCCCCCGGTTAACAGGTTTTGCCAGGACATTCCGGTCACCTGGGCAGATGGAATCCTTCCCTTGAGCCGATTCCCTCTCTCCAGGGGATGCCAGGGGAGCAGAATTCCTGGGGACTGAGGGTCCTGGTGCACCAGACCCACCTTCAGCCATTCTTGTCCAGCCCAGAGCAGGACTCCCAAATCTGCAACCCCACTGCGCTCCAGGTCTGCCTGTTGGCACGTGCAAGATGCTTGGGGAGCCTCAGTCTTCCAGCTCATCTTCATTCCCACAAGCCCTGGGTGGCAGAGTGAGTAGCTTAACCTCTCGAAGCCCCATGTTTCTTCATCTGTGAAATGGAGACCCACGTACCTTCCTTCAGGCTCGGCCCCGGGAATCTGCCCCTGAGTTTTTCTCCAGCCCTCGCATCGGGCAGCGCCTGGCTCATAGCAGGTTCTTGGTAAATGTGCACCAGCAGCCTGGGTGACGCGCTGACTGTCAAGTGACCCCGGCTGTAGGCTCGCTCCTCGTGGAGCCGGCCTGATGGGTATGAACCAAAGGAATGAATAAAACAGGGAGATGACTCAGCATCAGCTGTTTCTCGCACCTTGCCAGAGCTCTGGGATCCGTCATGTTCTGCAGCCACCTCCTCGGCCCGTCTCTCCTCCATGTGGGATCGGGGAACCTCGCGTCGGAAAGACCCTTATTTAGTTCCAGACTCAGAGGGAGGTGGTTGCCATCTTCTGGTCCCTGAGACACTGGTTTCCTCTGCTGAGCCCCAAGGAAGAACCCGGAAGTGGTGGCAGAAGCTCCAGGGAAGCTGATTGAGGCCAATAGAAAGAAGAATTTCTAGCAGCTCAAATGGCCTGGAATGGGCGGTACTCAGAATTGGATGAGCAGAGGCCAGATGGGCACGCGGGAGGGGCACTGACCTGGGCCAAGAGGTTTGGTTCTGAAAGCCAGATAAGTCACTGAGAATGTGCTGCAAGGTGATGGGTGCCAGTCAGCAGTAAGGAGCCCCCCACCCCAAAGTGGCCCAGTCATTTACAAAGCTGGCCAGGAGCAAAGCCTGGCACACGGAGCTAGGCAGAGCCCTTGGGTACTGTAGAGCAGAACTGGAATGGGGTGCAAGGCAGAACTTCGGCTCAGTCAAGATGCCCGCTGAAGCACATGGCAGCTGGTGAGAGTCCATCTGAAGGTACTCTTGGGTTGGGGGCTGTAGACTCCTGCTAGGAGTGGAGAGGGAGGGTGGGCTGTGCAACCTCCAAGATATCCCCCATGGATATTCCAAGAGTGCCCTGAGCACCTCCTAGGTGTCAGACCTGTTCACTGCTGGCCCCCTCTGCCAGCTGGAGGAGTTGGGTGCCCCGTGGCTGCTCCCAAGCTGAGGACACCAGGGATCACAGCTGTCAGCAAGGTGTTGCGAGGCAGATGGGGTAAGGGGCCAGAGGGTGGTGAACAGTGGACATGGCCGTTAGGACAGAAGCTGCAAGACCACAGCGGAGGCTGGCAGGGGCCAGGGTGAGGCCGGCTAAGGGCCGAGCTAGGACCCTGGTCAGCGCATGTGAGCTCAGGACCATGGAGAGCGCCACAGGAGCCTGGTCACCAGGTGACAGCTGTCAGGGTGCATCCACACCCGGGAGGCTGCTGCCCGCCTGACTAGCACACGAGTCACAGCCCGTGGCCTCCAGGGAGCACCTGTCTTCTCTGGCTGGCAGCCCCCACTGGTCGCAGCCTGAGCCCAGACCCCAAGGCCGTGACTGGGTCGTGGGCTTTGGGCTCATCTCTCACCTCACAAGCTTATCAAGCAGAGGCCAGGGGAAGAGGTCACAAGAAGGAGGGAGGAGCAGGAAGAGGCAGGGTAGAAAGCCAGTCTGTTCAGCTGGAACCTTCCGAGCACAGCCACGGCTGTGAGTCAGTACAGAAAGAGGAGGCCCAGGGTGGGCTGGTCTTGCCAGCATTCAGGGTCTGGGTCAGCTTCCTGCGGCCATGATTATCTGACTGTCGGGAAGCATCCGGTCCATTCCCTTCACCTTCCTGCAGGAGACCCAGGGCCCTGAGGCTGGTGCAACCCATGAAGTGAGTGAATGAGTGGGTGTGCTTGTGTGTGTGTGTGTGGCCAGGGGTCTTTTAGGAAGTCTTCCAGAGAGCCTCCCAGTTCTTCCCTCCTTTCTGTGGAGCCCCAGTGGAGCCCAGGGAAGCAGGGCACTGTCTTCCAGCCCATCTTCCATCAGACTCAGGTTCTGACCAGGCTCCAGCTGAGCGCCCCCACTCGACTCCTTGCTGCTGTTAAACAAGAAAGCACCCACCAGGCCCCAGGCCCTGCCAGGGGCTCAGCTCTGGTCGAGCCTGTGCCCCTGCTGCCCCCTCCCCCAGCTGAAGGCCCTCCCTACTCTTCCAGGCGGGGGGATAACAGCAGCACTAAGAAGAGCTAATGCTTATTGGCTTCTTATGGTGTGCTAGGAGCTTCACATGGGTTATTATTGAACCCTCATTTTCTAGATGAGCCAAAGAAGGAAAGTTACTTTCACCTGCCCGAAGGCCACGCAGATAGGAAATGGCAGAGCCAGAAGTTTGAGCTGGGCTATCTGGTTCTAGGCTCTGTGCGCACCCAGGTAGCGGCTCTGGTTGAAGCTCGCTCCATGACAGCTCCCTGCCCCTGGGGGCTCGTGTCCAGAGACAAGGAGACAGATGGATGGGGGGATGGGCTCAGCGCTGGGAAGAAGGGACAGGGTGGGATGGGGCTCTGGATTGGTCTCTCTGATTTGATGTCTTCATTTGAAGTGGGCAAGGCACTTAGAGAGGACCCTGCAGAGACAAGAGCTGCCTCCAGCCCAGCTCTGCCATTTTCCATCTCCATGGAAGCGGTTGAGGGATGACTTCCGCCCCAGTCAAAGGCGGGTCCATCCTGCAGGTCCTGGAGTCAACGAGGGTGACTCCTTGCTCACACTTCACGCCAGGTCTGACTGCTGCCTGCACCCCACCTCTCACCCAGACAGTGCTGCGGCCTCCTCACCACCCTCCCTGCTCTGTTCCGGTGACCATCGGTCTCAGCAGAGCAGCCCAGCTGAGCCCGGACGCTTAGCATCCTCCCGTGAAAGCCGCACTCCAACATTCTGTTCCGCTGCCCTTCCTCCCTTGTCTTCTGGCCTCACTCTTTTTAAGGCCCGCTCTGGCCACCTGATTACCTCTGAACCTGCCTGCTCTTAGCCTTTACCGTTTTTTCTCCAGAGCACGTCTTTTTAGCATACCGTATGATTTGGCTCATTTTAGTTGCCCCAGCCCCGGGCCCCGCTCGCCCTGCGCCGGCTCCATGAGGTGGGGGCTCTTGTGGTCCTGATTTGCTGTGCTCCCAGGGCCAGTGCCGCGCCTGGCACTCAGCCAGCTCTCAGTAAGCAGCCACTGAGTAAATGGAGGAGATGGGTTGGGTGACGTGGGTCACCCAACTGCAAGGGGTCACGTGGGTCAAATGCAGTGGTGGCTGTTGCATCCATGGACTGTCTTTACTGGTCACTGGTGGACTCTCCATGGGACCCTTATCACCTGACTTGGGCTGAACTTGGCAGATGGAAGGGACCCAGGACAGCTCTACCAGTGGATGAGATCCCACTACTGACCCCACCGGATTGAGTCCGACCCATACTAATTGTGTGTCACTGAGCAAGTTATACCATCTCTCTGGCCTCGGTCTCCTCATCTGTAAAATGGGAGAGACAGTAGTACCTGCTGCATGGTGGGGGATCCGGTGAGGACATGCATGTGGTGTGCTCGGGACAGTAGCTGGCCTGTAAGTGTCGGTGACCATCAGCTTTATCGGTACACCTGATGGTTCGAGATGAAGCTTTATAATGGAGGGAGAGATGCTGAAGCGGGGGCCTAGTTTGGTTCCACAGCTTTAGTCCGCAGCCAGGCCAGAAGCATCAAGGAGGGCTGTGGCCTCAGATGTAAGGAAGCAGAGCCTGGTTCGGGAACAGAACTTACCTTCAGGTCCTGATTCGGTCGCCTTCCTAATATCCTTTGGGGAAAGTCTTGCCATCTTTCTGAGTCTCAGTTTCCCCATCTGTGAAAACGGTGGTCAAAATCCTCAGTCTCCCTGGGTGGGCAAGACTTACATGAGACCCCAGTGCCCATGCTTATTTATTTATTTGGTTTCTTGTTTATAGGCCACTCAGTCTATAAAATGTATTTGAAAATAGTTGAAGATACGATAAAAAGAGATCAGGCCAAGAACAAGTTCAACAACAAAAAAAAACCCAACCCAGACAGCTGTGTGTAACAGTGTCCCAGAAAACTTGGCCTCTGAGGCCCTGCCTTGCTCTGGGCCAGCCTCTGTGTCTGTCAGCCTCCCAGCAGCTCGAGCCACGAGTGAGACACACTCTATTCTGTGATTCTTGGCAGCAAGCCGGGCTGGGGCCTTATCACACGGCTTCACCCTGAAGGCCCTGCAGTTCAGAGGGGGACCCCCGGGCCCTGGAGAGTCTGTCCTCCAAAGGGTGCAGCTGGCCAGGGGTAACTAGATCCTGAAAGGCAGTCTGACCCGGGAGCCAAGGGGCAGCTGGGTCAGTGTGACCTCAGCAGGGCTGTGGGGGCCCCTTGCCTGAGTTTCTCTTACCTTCCTGGGGCCTGTGTTCACTGCTGCCAGGAGATTTTATCTGAGTGGTGGCCCCAGCCTTGCCCTTCACCGCTCACTGCCAGTTCAGTCCAGGGAGGGCTGGGATTGGGGTGTCTCACAGAGACAGGCTGCAAGTGGGGAGCAATGATCCACCAGAAGGATGGGGCTGCCTTGCCAGGTCCTAACAGCCCTCGGGAGGGTCACTCTGGAGACCTCTGCCATGCTGACCTCAGTCGGCAGTGTCGCCTTGTGCCCGGTCCCTGCCCCAGCAAGAGCTCCCATCCTTCTGCCTCTACGGGCCTCAGCCCTTTGCCATTCCATTCACCCCACCGGCCTGGCCTGCCTTTGCAAGAGCAGGGCTAGAATCCGTGGTGGGGACGGGAGCTCCCTCCCGCCTCCCCCAAAGCCAGTGGAGACCAGTCCCCCCCTCTGCCCCGGGGCAGCTGACATTTAGCAGAGGTCAGGCCCCCACCCCTGATTGTCCTGCCTTCTGCGGTCAGCTGTGCCAACCCCCGCCTGAGGCCAGGCTCCAAGGGGTCAGCATTTAAACCAGAGGAGAGGGTACATCTAGGTCTTGAGGGCACAAGTACCACCCTGGCCAGCAGGATCGGCAAACTCGACTGCTCCTCACTAGCGTGCTCAGGACTCCTCACCAAGGTGAGGCCAGGGAGGGTGGCCCTTCCTCCCCAACATGAAAGGGTGGGAGGAGATGGTCCTTAAAGCTTGTTCTAGATCAAACATTGCATGATTGTGTGCCTTATGACCATGTAGTTTAGAGAAAATTTATGTTGGAGTCTTTTAGCCTTGAACTTTGAAAGAAGTAGAAATCTGTTGAATACCTGCTGTATACCACGAACTCTGTACCCATTTCACAGATGTAGAAACCAAGGTTCAGAATGGTGAGGAGCCTGGCTTAAGTTAGGAAAGGAAGGGGAGAGTATAGCAAGAAGATGCTGAAATGACCCAGAGGAAGAACCAGAAACATAAGGAGAGGCCGCAGAAAGAAACATTTTGAGGGAAAGGACAGTGCCCCCCACCCCTGCCACAGGGAGATCTATGGAAGGGAAATGAAAACACGTTTCTGTCCCAGCCCCTCCTCTGACTGTAGGTCACTCCAGCCAAGGCACTGGTCATGAACTCAGTCATGCCTGACTCTTCGCAGCCCCATGGACTGTAGCCCACCAGGCTCCTCTGCCCACGGAATTTTCCAGGCAAGAATATTGGAGTGGAGTGCCATTCCCTTCTCCAGGGGATCTTTCCGACCCAGGGATCGAACCTGAGTCTCTTACATCTCCTGTGTGGGCAGGCAGATTCTTTACCACGCAGTGCCACCTGGGAAGGCACTGGTCTGACTTGGCCAAATGGGTGTAACTTCCTGGCCGCTGTGCCCTCTTCCTGTGCTGTGTGGTGAGAGTCGGAGGTGCTGCGCTGGCTTGCTCATGAGATAGAGAGCATGACTGAGTGAAGTGTGGAGTCCAGCTTAGAGTAATGTGAGCCTTTCAGTTTCTGAGGTGTGACCCCACACTGTGGCAATGGAAGTGTCCACACTCAGGGAGATGGGGTGAGGGGTGTTAAGGAACCCTCTGAAGTATCTTTGCAACTTTTCTGATAAGCTACAAATATTCTAAAAAAAGGTTTTCTTTTTTTAATTGTGAAAAACAATATATATGGCTCTCCATTCCACAACCATAAACTAATTGATAAACTGCAAACAAGTAGAGAATGGTCATAATCATGATTCTTCATAGAGAATGATTCATTCCAAATGAGTATGGAATAGGTGAAATTTAAAAGGAAATAGATTTATTTCTACTGACATGAAAATCTCTTTAACCTGTCATTGATTGAGGAAAACCACTTGATTGGATGAGCGTTCAATAGAATAATAATTATAAAAAATATTAAGCTGAGAACAGAAAAAATGCATATAAAACCAGTGATGCATCTCAAGCAGATAAATATTTACGGCTGGATATCAGTCAACTGTCCTGCATGGGGCAATGAAGGAGTTGTTATTCAGTCGCTCAGTCGTGTCTGACTCTTTGCAACCTCATGGACTACGGCACCCCAGGCTTCCCTTGTCCTTCACTATCTCCTGGAGTTTGCTCAAACCCTTGTCCATTAAGTTGGTGATGCCATCCAACCATCTCATCTATCATCCCCTTCTCCTCCTGCCTGCAATTTTCCCCAGTATCAGAGTCTTTTCCAATGAGTCGACTCTTCGCAGCCAGTGGCTAAAATATTGGAGCTTCAGCTTCAGCATCAGTTCTTTCATTGAATATTCAGGGTTGATTTCCTTTAGTTTCACCTCCTTGCTGTCCACGGGACCCTTAAGAGTCTTCTCCAGCACCAGGATTCGAAAGCATAAGTTCTTGTGTGCTTAGCCTGCTTTATGGTCCAACTCTCACATCTGTACATGACTTTTGGCAAAACCATAGCTTTGACTATATGGACCTTTGTTGGCAAAGTGATGTCTCTGCTTTTTAAATACACTGTCTAGGTTTGTCATAGCTTTCCTTCCAAGATGCAAGCATCTTTTAATTTCGGGGTTGCAGTCACCATCCTCTGGGTAACTTTTTTTAAATTTTGTTTATTAAATATGTTAGAAGTGTTCCCTTGAGACCTGGGAACTTTTTTCAGTGAAAAGGGTTTGTTAATATAGTCACACACACACACAAAGATAAAGAGACAGACAGATAGAAGGAGAAAGCATCCTGGACAGTGCAGGGAAGGGACCCCGTGTCTGCAACCTACAACCCGCTCTCCCCCTCCCTTAGGGCCTGTAGCCCCCGGGGCAGGTTCTGCATTGCAGGGTCGAGCTCCTCCTAGGATGCATTCTGTTCCTGGAGTAAAGCCCAGCGGTGCAGCTGGTACAGTCATGGTGGGGTGGGCCAGGTGCTGGAACCTGCTACTGTTTTGCCAAAAGTTCTACTTTCCTTTTAGTAAACCTTTTCAAAGGATTCCTTTGAAACCACTCTTGCACACAAACAATTTCTCTATAGAAGATGATTTAATTTCAACATACAGTCATTAAAAGAAAAGAAATAGAAACAATAGAGAGAAGTAAAAACATATATATCACCACATTGGGCCAACAACCTACATCCAGACTTGACCATCTCTGGGAGGTCCCTGCAATCTGGAGTCCCAAATGGGAAGGGTCTTGGGCGGTGCACACACCCCATGGGTGGTGATCCAAATCGCAGCTTTGAGGGCTCCTGCTTATAATCCCAGGCCACAATCTGATACCATCAGCAGTTTGTGTTCAAAAATGCAGCTCTGGGTTGTCTTTTTTGTTTTTGTTTCTTAACTTTTACAATGTTGTTTGTTTCACCTTGTGAGTCACAAGATTTCATTAGACCCCAGGGGGTTGGCTAGACCTCCAAGAATCCCAAGACCCATTCCCTTTCTTATTTAAAGTGCTGCCTGACTTGCTGTGCTTGCGGGCAGGCAGGGGATCCAGGCAGTGTGCAAGCAGGCCAGAGGCTTGCTCTCTTGCTTCTAAAGCCTGAACACGACCTTTTCTACTTTAATTTCCCTAAAGTTGCATTCCCTCCCTCAGGAGAAGAGCCTCAGGCTTCCCTCACCAGGTCTGCAGACTCCTGACCCCTCTGCTTTCTCCCATTTCCTGCAGGATGAAGATGAAACGCTACAAGCTGTTTCTCATGTTCTGTATGGCTGGCCTGTGCCTCATCTCCTTCCTGCACTTCTTTAAGACCCTGTCCTATGTCACCTTCCCCCGCGAACTGGCCTCTCTCAGCCCTAACCTGGTGTCCAGCTTCTTCTGGAACAATGCCCCGGTCACACCCCAGGCCAGCCCAGAGCCGGGTAGCCCCGACCTGCTGCGGACCCCACTCTATTCCCACTCACCCCTGCTCCAGCCGCTGTCGCCGAGCAAGGCCACGGAGGAGCTCCACCGGATGGACTTCGTGCTGCCCGAGGACACCACCGAATACTTTGTCCGCACCAAGGCCGGGGGCGTCTGCTTCAAGCCAGGTACCAAGATGCTGGAGAAGCCCCCATCGGGGCGGCCAGAGGAGAAGATGGAGGCGGGCGACGGCGCGTCGTCGTCGGCACGGGGCCCGGGCCGGCAGCTGCTGAGCGCCCGGGAGCGAGCAGGGGGCCGTGGCGGTGCGCGGCGCAAGTGGGTGGAGTGCGTGTGCCTCCCGGGCTGGCACGGGCCGAGTTGTGGCGTGCCCACCGTGGTGCAGTACTCCAACCTGCCCACCAAGGAGCGCCTGGTGCCCCGGGAGGTGCCGCGACGGGTCATCAACGCCATCAACATCAACCACGAGTTCGACTTGCTGGACGTGCGCTTCCACGAGCTGGGCGACGTGGTGGACGCCTTCGTGGTGTGCGAGTCCAACTTCACGGCGTACGGGGAGCCGCGGCCGCTCAAGTTCCGCGAGATGCTGACCAACGGCACCTTCGAGTACATCCGGCACAAGGTGCTGTACGTCTTCCTGGACCACTTCCCGCTGGGCGGGCGGCAGGACGGCTGGATTGCCGACGACTACCTGCGCACCTTCTTGACGCAGGACGGCGTGTCGCGGCTGCGCAACCTGCGGCCGGACGACGTCTTCATCATCGACGACGCCGACGAGATCCCCGCGCGCGACGGCGTGCTCTTCCTCAAGCTCTACGACGGCTGGACGGAGCCCTTCGCCTTCCACATGCGCAAGTCTCTGTACGGCTTCTTCTGGAAGCAGCCGGGCACCCTGGAGGTGGTGTCGGGCTGCACGGTGGACATGCTGCAGACGGTGTACGGGCTGGACGGCATCCGCCTGCGCCGCCGCCAGTACTACACCATGCCCAACTTCCGCCAGTACGAAAACCGCACGGGCCACATCCTGGTGCAGTGGGCGCTAGGCAGCCCCCTGCACTTCGCCGGCTGGCACTGCTCCTGGTGCTTCACGCCCGAGGGCATCTACTTCAAGCTGGTGTCTGCCCAGAACGGCGACTTCCCCCGCTGGGGCGACTACGAGGACAAGCGGGACCTCAACTACATCCGGAGCCTGATCCGCACGGGGGGCTGGTTCGACGGCACGCAGCAGGAGTACCCACCGGCCGACCCCAGCGAGCACATGTACGCCCCCAAATACCTGCTGAAGAACTACGACCAGTTCCGCTACCTGCTGGACAACCCCTACCAGGAGCCCAAGAGCACAGCGGCCGGTGGGCGGCGGAACAAGGGTTCGGAGGGAAGGCCACCCGCCAGGGGCAAATTGGATGCGGTTGAAGGCTAAGGCTGCATGATCTTACAGGGCCCGTGGCAGGGTGGGGGTGCGGTGGGGTGTTGGCACCTGCCCCTCCTGTTGTTACCTTTTTGCCTCCTTCTACCCTCTGGGTGGTTCGTCAGAGGACCAGGACTGGAAGGTGGGGGAGGCTTTCCTACTCAAGGCCCTGTGAATCCAGGGTCAGGCCTGTGAGCTCAGAAAACACCCTTCCTCACCAGGGGAGGAGAGCAGGTGCTACCGCCCCCAGGAGTGCTGCGGCTGGGAGGTGCCCGCAGAGCGCGCAGGAGGGTTACAGGGGAGGAGGGGTGGGTGGGCAGGGCGGGAGAGGGAGCCTGCAGGAACGCCCTACGGCATCCAGGTGGGGCGCCGCAGTCCCCTCCAGGGAGAAGAAGCCCACCATTTGGCCTCCTGGGGCTTTGGACCCGTGGTAGGAAGGGAGAGATGCCAGGAGTTCCCAGGGCTCTGTAAATAGTCGCATTCGGGCCCTGGACGAAGCAGGCACACCAAGGTGGGAGGGAATGAAAAACGGCCGCTGGGAAGGAGCTCCAGTGGGTGCTCTGTAGTGTCCTCAGGAGTGCTGGGCCAGAGGGAGCGGGGACCTCCCCCCTCGTCTCACAGGACACACAGCACAGACGGTCCTGTGCCCCTCAGCCCCTCTGGAGATGACGCAGGCGTGGGGAAGCCTGGGAAGTCTTCTTTTAGGGTCCCAAGCTGGCCTTGACATTTCTTCTTACTTCTTATATCGCTGTCTTGTGGGCTGCCCACCCAGTCCTTGCAAGTTCCAAGAGTCCAGTTCTCAGGCTGGGATGGGACCATCAGCTAGCCTAGTAGGTGAGATGTGGGGGTGTGGGGAGCCTCCTCCCCCGCCACCCCTTCCCACTAGAACCCACAGCCCCAGCTCTCCACTGCCTCAGGTAGAGTCACCCTTGTGCCCCTTTGGGGGCTGGCTTGGGGCCAGGAAGGAGCCACGAGGCTGCTCTGGGCCCACGAGGGACATTAAGGCCAGTTGTTTGTCATCTCATTCCTTAGTTGCCTCGGGGGAGGGGGCTGTATATGTTAGAGTAGATTCTAAACTGCTGTAATTAAGAGATCCCAAAATACAGTGGTTTCGGCAGACAGAAGCTCGTTTCTAACTTACCTCTTTGGAGGGTGGTGGTCTGGAGGGCAACTCTGCTTTCCTGCCTCACACCTTCCAACTCTGGATAGAGTGGTTGCTCCAGCTCCCACCATCACGTGTGCATCCATGTCCGAGGGAAACAGGAAAGTGCAAACCCTTTCTGTTAACAGCATGAGCCGGAGATGGCACAGTCACTTCTGATGGCATCTTGCAGGACTCAGTCACTTGGCCACCTGCAAGGGAAGCGGGAAAAGTAGTTTTCAGCTGGGCTGCCCCTTTCACCCTTTAAAGGAAGGAGGGAGAGAATGAAGGCGCAGAGGATACTTACAGGGACAAGGGGCGTCTCTGACCCTGAAGGAGGAGGGGAGAGGGCAGAGGTGACTGTCGCAGTGGTGGGACCCTGCTGGCATGCTCACAGCTCCTGGATCAGCCCATCCCTGCCCGCCTCACTGGCGACCCAGGGCTGGGTCACTGAGAGCATGCAGTGGTGGGCAGGGAAGAGGCGCCCCCTCCCAACGGCCCGCTCGGGTGTTTAGCCAGTGATGCCGGGACGCAGAGCCTGCCTGTGAACGGTACATGTCTTTGCGTGCGTGTGTATTTATGGCATGGGTGCATGCTTGGTGTGTACTTGTTCGTGTCTGTGTCGGTGTGTCCCTGTACATATATGCCTGTGTGGGGGACGTGGGAGCGGGGCCCAGGCCTCCCCTTGCTGGGACCTGGAGCCTGTGGCCACACCTCCTGAACTCCCCAAAATGACTGAGGCAGAAGGGCAACCTGGGGAGCCAGAAAGCCAGGCTAAAAGGGATGTGGGGGTCCGTCCATCTGTCTGTCTTTCAGTCCAAGGAATGAGAGCGCTCTCAGCCTGAGGGCTGTACTGCTGCGAGCCCGAGACCTCCCGGCCTCGTCCCTCCACGCCTCCAGCCAAGGCGTTCTCAGCGTGTCTTACTGGGGGGTTTCCTGGGGAACTGGTGTGGTGTGGGGAGCTGGCCACAGAACAGCCTCAGCCAGGTGGGCATGAAGCAGGCTGGGGGGCCCCCACTGTCCCTCTGGTTGAGGGGGTGTCCCAAGGGAACCAACCCCTCCCTCGGAGTTAGAGAAGCGCCCCCTCCACCCCCTGGCCCCTCTTGGGGCTGAGAAGTGGCTCAAGAGGTCAGGGTGTCCCTGTGGCTCCAGGTCACCCGAGGCCAGGTCCTGCCTACCAGCCACCTCTGCCCACCCCCCGGGGGGGCATCTCTGGGGACGCGTGCCTGAGCCCCAGCCCAGGGCCTCCCACCTTGACGGCCTCCTCACCCCACACCCCCCACACCTGTGGGGAGGTCCCCCCTCCAGGCTGGCCGGGGTCCCTGGCTTCCAGTTCGTCAGCTCAGGGGCAAAGGTAGAAAGAGGGAAGGAGCTCGTACGTGCCAGACCCCACCTTCCCTCTCGGACAAGGAGGGCCAGGCGTGCTCATGGTCACCCCCCAGTGGAGGCCTGGCCGTGGAGAGCACAGCCCGCAGGGTCAGGGGACCGAGGCATGGGGTCGCAGTTTCACTCAGAGTCACATCATACACTGGGAACTTCGGGGACAGGGGAGCCCTGGGCCACTCCCCTCTATGAAGGCAAACCAAACTGTGAAATGGGATGCCAGCACGTGCTGGCCCTGTCGCGTAGCCACCTTCCTTCCTTCCTTGGGAAGCCCCGGCCCTGTGGTCTCCAGACTCATGGAGGCCCAGCCCACCCTGGAGGGTTTCCTTAGGGTGTGGTGGTTCCCACAGGCAGGCATGGGAGAGCTTTGGGGACAAAGGTGACAGGGTGGGAAACTAGGACTTGCCCCAGCAGCAGGTGGGGCCCTGGGAAATGTGTAATTTAAGGACACCAATAATAATAATAGTATTATTTTTTTTGTAAGGGAAAATCAATATGTACATTCTGAAATCATTTTCTCTGTAAATGGTTGGATTTCATTTCACCCTTAAAGGGATGCTTAAAGGAGAAGATAATATTAATAATAAAAACAGCTACAAAGTCTAAAGATTGTACTTGAGTGGCCGCTCTGGGGGTGTGCTGGCGCAGGAAGGGGTGTGAGTGGGTGACTCTGGTCTTGCTGGGTCAGTGGGGGGCGGTGAGCCTGCCTGAGGACTGGACAGGCAGTCGGGGGGGGGGCATCCCCAGCATCTTCATTTAGGGATGCAGTTACCCCCACCCCCCACCCCGACCAAAAGAGCCTCTGACCTCCCACCAGTGGAAACGGGCCTGGAAAGGGGGCAATGACGTGTGGTCCTTCACAGAAGGAGGAAGTGGGTCTGGGCCTGGCCACACCCTCCTGAGGTAGGCAGGGACCCCTTTGGGGCTCTAGATCAAGACCCTGGTGCCTCTAGTGAGAGGGGAGTGATTCTTCCACTACTGTGCACCTGTCGGGGGTCCTAAGGCCACACACTTAGTGGGTGTGGGGTCAGACCTGAATTAGGGGTACCAACCCTCCAGGGCAGGTGGGGATGGCAGCCTCCAGGGTTGGTCATCTCCCCTATGGAGCTAACCTGGACTTGTGCTGTGATGGTGCCCAGGCCGTGGAACGTGGGGGCTTCCTGGAGGCTTATTCCAGGTCTTTTGGATCCTGGCATTGTCCTGGAAGGGGAGCCTCTGGATATTTTCTAAGGAGAGTCTCAAAGATGAACTCTGCCTTGGTCCCTAATGGGGTGACTGTGCAGCCTCTGTCTTAGATGGAGAAACTGAGGCTGGGGACAGGAAAGAGGATTGACAGCGGTGTTGGTTGACCAGAGCAGAGGCTCACGTCTCCTGAGCACCTGGGAAGTGCCAAGCCCATAACTGACTCCTGGACTCCGAGCCACACCCCAAAGCCCAGGAAGGCGCCTGCAGGTGCAGGATTGAGCAGAAGTGGAAGAGATATAGCCTGAGCACCCAGGAAGTGCCAAGCACTTTATGCCCATAACTGACTCCTGGACTCCGAGCCACACCCCAAAGCCCAGGAAGGCGCCTGCAGGTGCAGGATTGAGCAGAAATGGAAGAGATATAGCCTGAGCACCCAGGAAGTGCCAAGCACTTTATGCCCATAACTGACATCTGGAGTCCTAGCCACACACCCCAAAGCCCAGGAAGGCGCCCGCAGGTGCAGACTTGAGCAGGAGTAGGAGAGATGTAGATGCTTCATCTATCTGGAAGACGGCAATGCTGACCCACCCGCCACTTAAGTTCAAGTTTACGGCCTTTAAATCGTGTCTGATAGTGAATTATCACCATTGTAATCATTCACAAACATTTTTAATGAAATGCCTATTTTGTGCCAAACTCTGGGCTAAGAGAGTTCCCTCCCTATCACTCCCATTTTATTGATGTGGGAAGTGAGGCTTGGATACATTCAATAAGGCAGGGAAGGGCAGTTTGCCTAAATCCAGAAACTGAGATCTTAACTGCCAAACTTCACTCCCTCTCTGAGTCCATTCAGGGAGGAGGAGGAGGGTGGGGGAAGAGGTAGAGAGGATGGGGGTGATGCCAGTGCCATTGTTCAGACATCATCCAGGCATCTGACAGCCAGGCACAGTGCTAGGTCATGGGTCACCGAGAGAGAGGACAGTCCCTGTTCTCAGAGGGACCACAGTCAGTGGAGAACGCAGGGAAGCATGACCTCAGGACAGAGGTGAGGCTGGCACAGAGTCCCCAGAAAAGAGTCCCCAGAATCCAGAAATTGGCATCATGCAGGAACTGGTGTCACTGTCTGTCTGTGAGCATCAAGTAAAACACTCCCCCCTCCACTGGCCATCCAGGTAGGTTTGGGGGCATTGATGGGCTCCATGACCTTGGAGGGGGGACATATATTTTCTTCCACACTCAGTCTTCTCTCTGTCAAAATAGCCCATAGAAAGCTTTACTGCATGCAGTGGATAAAATGAGATAAAGAAAAAAGCTTGGCAACCTGGTAAGCTCTATTAGGTTGGAAGAGACCAGAGCAAACGTGATGACTTCAGTCAAGACCCATTGTTAAAATCCTCCCAGTTTGCTGTGCAAATGGGGGATTTGGCTGTGTGCAGATGAAACCCCCAAATTCCAAAGGCCCATCATCCTCGAGCCCATTGGAAGTCTCCACCCATGTGCCTCAAATCATGAAACACCCACAGATGTTTTGGGTTGAAACAGATCTCTGGTTAAAGCTCAAAGGAGTGAAAGGCCTTGCCCAGGACCAGCATCCTTGACTCTTCACCTGCTGTTCCAGTGAATTCCCAGTGACTCAGTTGTAATAGGAAACTAACTCTTTCAAACTAATGCAGTATTTTTGAAAATCATTTATTTGGTTTTGCTGGGTCTTCGTTGCTGCACAGGCTTTTTTCTAGTTGTGGCGAGTGGGGGCTACTCTCTAGTTGCAGTGCAAGGGCTTCTGGTTTCAGCGGCTTCTCTTGCTGCGGTGCACAGGCTCCAGGGCATTCAGGCTTCAGTAGTTGCGGCAGTGGGCTCAGTAGTTGCAGCTCCTGGCCTGTATAGCATAGGCTCAGCAGCGGGACCAGGGGTTGGACCTGTGTCTCCTGCATTGGCAGGGAGATTCTTTACCATTGAGCCACCAGGGAAGCCCCTCAAATCAGTATAGTCTTCTAATAGTCTTTTTTTTTTTAAATGCTGTTGCTATTTATTGCTGCAACACAAATCACCCTGAAATATAGTAGACAAAACAACAATCTAGTTGCTCCCAGTTCTACAATTCAGGCTGGATTCAGCTGAACAGTTTTTCTGATCTGCAGTGGGTGGACAGCTGCTATAGAGACATGTCCGCCTGCTCAGACCTGACCTGCATTGTTTTGACAAAGGAAGGGATAACACACAAAAGAATGAGGCTGCCAGCCAGTTTACTGGTTTGCTGACAATAAAGGTCAGTGATGGTAAAGGCTTCAGATGCAGCTTCAGGCAGAGTTCAGTGTCACATTGTCATCCAGCTCTCTCTGTGGCTCAGCCCAGCTCCACATCCCAACCGGTGTCCTCTTTCTCAGACGGTTTTACCCCTCATGCCTGTAAGATGGCTGTAGCAGCTCCAGGGCTCACACCATCTCATCCTGTGTACTCAGCACAGAAGAAATAGTGCTCCTAAAAGTCCTGGGTCTGGATCTCACTGACTTGGATGAGGTCACGTGATCGTGCCTTGATCACTGAAGAGTGGAGAGGGGTTGACATATACTGATTGGCTTAGATCAACCAGAGCCCATTCTACATTGACTGAAAAGGAGGGGAGATGCTCTCCCAAACTGGGGGCAAAGATGTCACCATTGGTACAATCTCAGCTGCCTCCATCAAGCCTTTCATCAGCCCTTGGTCAATCTTCTCTCCTGGATCATCTGTGAGATGAGGATCTTCATAGAGCACGCTTCTGCAGTGAGTGTGAGGGTGCTCAGAGCTTGGGACTGAGCCTGGAGCATTATGAGAGCTTAGTAAGTGCGAGTCATTACCGTTATGACCATGTCTTCTCCCTGCATTTCCTCATGTGGTGCGCTTGACACATGGACCACGCATCCCTTCTCAACACTCCTTCCCTTAGCCTCTGTGCATTTCTCTTCCTTCTCCTTGTCATTCCTTCTTGGTTGCCTTTCTGGGCCCCTTTTACCCATAGGGCTTCCCTGCTGGCTCACATGGTAAAGAATCTGCCTGCAATGCAGGAGACCAAGGTTCGATGCCTGGGTCAGGAAGATCCCCTGGAGAAGGGAATGGCAGTCCACTCCAGTATTCTTGCCTGGAGAATCCCATGGACAGAGGAGCCTGGTGGGCTACAGTGCATGGGGTCGCAAAGAGTTGGACGCGACTGAGTGACTAACAATTTACCCCATACAGCCCTTCAATAAAGGGTCTCTCTGGGGCTTAGTCCTGGGCCCACAGCTCTGCTTACAGTTCATGATTCTTATCAAGGTGGGATTGAGGGATTTTCCTGGTGGATACAGTGAATAAGAATCCACCTGCCAATGCAGGGGATACGGGTTTGATCTCTGGTCCGAGATTTCACTTGCAGTGGGGCAACTAAGCACCTGTGCCACAACTACTGAGCTCGAGTGTTGCAACTACTGAAGCCCGTGCATCTAGAGCCCATGCCATCAAGAGAAGCCACCAAGGTGAGGGGCCTGGGCACTGCAACGGAGAGTAGCCCCTACTCTCTGCAGCTAAAGAGGGCCCGTGCACCAGACCCAGCGCAGCCAAAAATAAAGTAATCAATTAATCTAAAAATAAAGGTGGGATCAGATAAATCTCTCCAGGGAGTCCTCTCTCCTGAGCACCCTATTCATGGATCCCACTGGGGTCGAGTGTCACAGTCACCTCAAATACCGAGGAGCCAAATGGAACTCAGTTTCCCCGAAGGCTCTTCTCCCAGTACGTTCCATCCTGTTGATGATGCATCATCTTCCCAATCACAACAGCTGGAAATCTCAGAGTCATCCTTGAAAATTCCCTAACAGTAGCTACCATTACTGATCACCTGCTGTATACCAGGGTTATGATTCAACCACCCAGGGTCCAAATTCCAGATTCCAACTTGCTAATCACATGACCCTAGATGTGTTCATCTCTGCATTTGTAGAGTGGGGATGACAACTCCAACCTCAAAGCATTGGCTGGGTATGGGTAATAAACAAGGCCTGTGAAGCAGTGGGCACAGAGCTGGGCACCCAGTAGTCAGTGCTACCTGCAGTGGACATCTGCACCCGCTCTTCTCAGCATCTCCTAGTGGGTACACCCAGCTTCCGAGGTGGCCCTGCATAGCTAAGCCAATGCGTACATCCATGACCTGGTCAGGGCAATAGCTTCAGGGATGGACAAGTAGCCCAATTCAGGCTCAGTGATACAGAATAAATTGCTGGAAGCTCTTAGAAAAGAAGTTCTTGGGGGTACTTCCCTAAAGGTCCAGTGGCTGAGACTCCACACTCCCAACACAGGAGGTCCAGGCTCGATCCCTGGTCAAAGAACCACATGCCACAACTAAATCCCATGTGCCCCAACCAAGAATCCACACGCTACAACTAAAGATCACACACGCCAAAATGAAGA